ACAACAAGTAACACAGTATCCTTCTTCGGATTATCCTGCTTGTAAGATCGGGTGTATTATTGAAATGATGTACTTATAGGAAATCCGATCAACTAATATATATAATATATATTCTTTAGCTATACACCCATAAGGATGTATAAATGAAATTTACCAAAAGATTGGGCATATTGTGGCGTGTGCTACTGATAAGATTTATCAGTAGTATATGAAGGGATGTTTATCGACATAAAAACATTATACAGCAAGGAGGTAGATTTGATGTCAGAGAAAGCAAATGATACAGAGTTGCGGGGAGACATGGAAGACGTGAAAGGAACACAAAGGAAGACATTATGAAGGCCAGAAGTATCACAACACGGAAGATCTGTGCAAATGGTGATACACGATTTCGCTAAACATTCCTTTACCAAATCTCTCGTCTTCTACCGTTACAATATGACGTGAAGAAGAGGTTTATTGATTGATTGCATAAAAGTCGAACCGGATTCTTGTGCTCACAGACTGTTTGAGAAAAGTTCTTCCAAAAGCTCTTAATACTGCAAATTTTATCTTATCTCAAACAATCAGTCAGTTTTGACTGCCGGAAGTAAATAAAGCTGATTGATTCGGTTTTTCCTGGAGTACATTCAGCACACTCGAAACGTTCTTACGCAGGGACACCTATAAAAATCTAAGTACTATTTATAATGGATGTGTAAATGTTAAATAGAAACTGCATAAACCGATCACTAGTCATTTAATCAATGTGAACAGGGAATTTACGAGTAGTCATTGCATTCTGTATAGTCCTTCAAATAGCTATCACACCTCTTTATCACACACGGAGGTTGTAAGGTAGAAATTTATATGTATTAAAGCTGTTAAATACCCTCGATGTCGCCTAACATTAGCCTTTAACTTTAGAATAACTCTTTTTCGGTATTCATACATTCATACTCTTTCCCTAAGCTGGAGTCCTAGTGCTCGTTGAATTCATTCATCTAAGTCATGTACATTCTTCATCAGTTTAAACTTTTGGCTGTTGTTTGAGACAGGAAAAGCTGTCTTGTCAATCATCCGTCTTCTTTTCTCGTTCACGTGTACCCGTGGTATTTTTGTAGTTGACGTTATGATTACCGATTAGAATGTTTTTGTTAACATGCTAAGTTTGTACCACTAGAAGTCTGTTGAGTCCTATTACCAGTCATCAAAAAACCTTTCTGTAGGTGAGACAATTAACCACACCTCTTGACTATCTCGGTCGTTAAAGTAATTCAGTTGCTAACTTCAGGTTCAATGCTTAACTTAATGCATTCAAAAAAATAGTATACAAATGCCGACTTTCCTTTTCCCATCTTGGCACATATTTCTGTCTACCTATTCCTAACTAATTATTAAACACATGACATGAACGACACGAATCCTAGGGGTGAAGCTAAAATTTGACATAGGTTAATATGACCGGCAATAAAAATAATGTTGCAGTTAGGGCTCGTTACACGAAGTCAATCAGCAACTCGTCTGAAGACTTGAATACCAAATACTGATTTCCAGTCACTTCTGACCCCCTTTAGAAGCACACGCGAATAAAGATAGAAGACAGAATGGTCCGAAATAGTGAGAACAACAGGCTTTATTATATGAAAATACATTATACATATAAGTATTACAAGCTTCAGAAAATTAAGCCAGTAAATAACTAGTTAAATTGGTTGCCCTAGGTTGTCCAGTCACACTTGCTTAAGAAGCCAACGGTTTAAGCCAATCGTGGTTTTCTACAGCTTAACCTGCAAAACTATACCTATTTTAAGATTTGGCAATAATCTGGGGTATCCGACACCTACCCCTACAAAAAAAAATGCATGCAACCATTATGGCACTTTTTCCGTTACTTTAGAGGCATACTATCTGAGGACTGCGCTTGGATACCCTTCTGCGTAAGAACATGGGTATGGTCTTATCAATTATGTATCGAACATGACTTCTCGGTTCCCATTTATCGGGAGTTACGTAATCAGTGGCCAATAGTAACCAGATTTCAGCTTATGCTACATCTCCCATTAAGCTTATTTGATTTCGCCTATTCATTCAAAGTTGATGAGGGCACCTACCTAACAACAACAAGCACCAATCACTGTCAGTGGGAAGAATTTGACGGAAGTTGCCTCTGTCAATAACCTAGGCAGTATCGTTTCAGCTAAAAGCGGAATGAATGAGGATGTTGAAGGTCGCCGGAATCCAGAAGGCAAGACAGAATTTCTTTAATCTGAAATCAGTGTGGAAATCTACTGCATTCAGCATAAATAACACGACTGGGATTTTCAGTAACAATGTTAAGTCAGTACTTCTACGTGGTTCAAAGACTTGGCCATTGAGTGACCAAAACCATTTCAAACAGGCTTCAGACTTTTATCAACAGATGTCTTCACTCTCTACTGAAGGATTGGCAACAAGGAACTCTCCCAACGAGCTGACAAAGAACCAATAGTCCAACAGATATGTAGAAGGAAATGGAGGTGAGTCGGACACACGCCGAGGAGACCGCTGAGTGGCCTAGTGGGCCAGGTCCTCGAGTGAAACCCGGATGGGAAGAGGAGTTGCACATGGGTTCGACAGTGACATGGAATAGATCCTGTAAGGAATGTGAAAGCTTATGGGCAATCGTGGGGCCGGCTGTAAAGGACTTTGGTAAACAGGATGAAATAGAAATGAGCTACTGAAGCCCAATATTCCATTCCTAACCCAAGGGAATAGCAGTAATATTCCTTCATTACTCAGTATCGCTTGTTTTAACTTACCGATTAATCACAATTTCACGAATACCTCTAAGCTAGTAAGGATCTTAAGAGGACCTTTTTCATAGGAATCTCAGCCAAGTAGTAATTTTGAAACAACTAATTGTCTGTTCCCCTTATGGATAAGATTTTATTTTGATAAATCACACAGTGTTATACAACAATATTAACTGTATAACACTGTGTGATTTATCAAAATAAAATCTTATCCATAATGGAGTTATACTCTACCACAGTGCCCAAGTTTTATACTTATAATTGTCTGTTTGACTAGTTTTATTTAAGCATTACTGTAAGGAATATCTATTTTTTAAGCGATCTTAATATTCTTTTCATTTTGTTTTCCCCGTCACCCAGCAATGGTACTCGGGACTTTCAGCTTACAAGGTCAGTGCATTGATTATTCCGCCTTAATTTTATAAATGTTATTGGTGTATTTTCCAACCATGTGGGTGTTAGTTTCGAAAACTTCACATTTTCCTTAAATATTATATATAATTAGATATATCCATGGAAAAGTTAATGTTATAAGTTGAAAAGTAACTTTTCTAATGGATTGATACATCTCTGAATGCAGTTAAGAATGAACTGGACATTCATCCTAAGACTAAGCACTCCATTGATTAAATAATATTAGGTGTACAAATATGTCTAACCTTTACTTTAGACAAATTTAAAAAAAACAAGCAAATGAAGTGTCAGTGGGATCATCAACATCTCTAATAGAAAAGTAGCTTTCAGCTTCATAAATCCTGGATATTCCAACATTTAAAAGTTGGAAGTGAATAAAATACGATTTACTAACAATCACAAAGTAATAAATTATTCTTTCACTTTACTGTATGTATTTCTGTTGTTCATATATTAGTGAGCTACTTCAGGAGATAGTTTAGCGATTTTTCAAAATCTCTATTGATTATTTTCAGTACATTAGCCTGCTATTTCATTTCTGAATATCTGTGATTCACCTCATTTTAGTGAATTCGAGATATCAACCCTGGTAATATTGAAGCACTCAATGGCATATCAATGTAGTCCTAATATATCAACTAGAAATCAAACATGTTATAGATAAAAGGTAGCTCTCATGGTCTAGTAGATAACGTTTTGGCATTTGAAACAATAACTGCTTAGTTCAAGTCTCAGGGGAAACATTATCACTCACTAAGCAGTAGATACATTCACAAGGTATGACTGAATGAAATGAGACGAAATGTACCTCTGCTGGATCCTACTGTAATATAGAAGTTAATTGGTGGATGGTGACTACCACCAGGATCCAGGTTGAAACTCGTCAACTGGATTCCCACGCATTCCGCAGTGAGTGATGCTATTCCCACCGAGGCTTGAACCCAGTGCTCATAGTTTCAAACACCAAAGCGTTAACCACTAGACCACTTAGTCCATGAGAGCCACCTCTTGTGCAACGGGTCATATTAATTGTTTAATTCATTTTTAGATTTTCCCGTCGATTGATTGAACCGAAGTGCTCAGTCTTAGATTGACACGTCGGCTCCTTGTGCAGATGCTTCGACGATGTCTGGTCATGTAACTAGAAGTTAATTTGGTGAATGGTGACTAGCAGTGGTGATAAGAAAGTTATCACATTAAGAAGTAATACTGTTCCCATTGTCTGGATATGAACAAATTACACAGCTTTTACTATTAAAGCATACAGAAATAGACCTCATCGCATCCTGAATTCTACTTGTAGCCAACGTTAGAGAAGTTCACTTAAAGAGAAAAGCATTTTTATTCGATAAATGAAATATTTCTCTAAGATTGGTGAAATTCCAATTATTGAAGTACAACAATCTGAAACAAAAGTGCAGATATATTATTATTATTACTTATTATTATTATTATTCTAGTTATCAATATTATATATATTTATATAAATCAGTGATAATCACCTAGAAGACTGTATTTTCAATCACAATGATAATCGTAATTGTAAGTAAACAGTATAATAATTTAACAGGTACCTTTCTTCTTTGTATATATAATAAGCTGTTAAATATTGAATCGTAGAACAAGTGAGCTCTATTTAAAAGAAGGAAGAGATCAAATAACTAAAAAGTTATTTCGAAGAAGAAGAGACACAGAGAGAAACTGGTTAAAGTGGGCAACAACAATGCAAAAAAAGGAAAAAAACAACGCGAAAGGAGAAAAATGTGACAGAAAATAAAGGATTAAATGAGAATAAGCCACAATACAGCGTTAAAACTTATCGAAAACAAATCATCTATCGAATTCTGCGCGCTATCATGAAGTATGTGAGAGACAGGGAAACAGTTAACAGATGCAGAAATATCAAACGATACTTAAGCAGCAACGACAGCAGAATAGAAAACTCCTGGCAGTCTCCCACCTCCCGCCTTACACACACACACACTCACTCGATGAAATCAAGTAGGTAGTTAAAATGAAGATTAGTTTTTGTAAATCGAACTTTATCATCATTCTTCCTGTTCTTTTCGTCATCATTATCATCATCATATACATTACTCATCAATAATTATACTAGTATTAAACATAACATAGTGAGTGATATTACATGATAGTGAAAATAAGCAGGAGAATTCAATGACAGGAAGATAATAGTATATAGAAATATTAATTAAATATAAAATATTAAGCAAAGAGAAGGAAGTGAATGGTTTACAGTTGTATAAGACTTATATATTACTAATGACACAATTATTACTGTTAATATTATTATTATTTGTTTTAAAGAGTTACAGTGAGTGGGAGACGAAGAACACGATTTCAATAAAGCATAATATGACAATCCAAATGAAACATAACAGTGTTGTCCCAAAAGAATTTTTCAGAATAACGAAAAAAGAGAGACAGCATAATCGATTAGATGGGGAAGTGAGTGACAAGTTGTCAAGGGCGGTAGGGGTTGGGGCTCTTTCCCCTATCTGTGTGTAGAGAAATAAGCAGTTTGAACAACAACAAGAACAACAAAATAAAAGAGAAATTCATTTCCGTATATGTATATAAGGAAAATATGTATCCAACACCTAGAAAAAACTTGACAAAATACATAATTTATTCGTTAAGGAGAATAAAAGTTCATGCATAACAAGCTAAATTAGTTCACAGTACATATATATGTGTGTTTATATATATAAATATAAATACGTAATTGTCCCAATTTGTACGGATTGTTTACACTCTAATAATTAGTTTTCTTCAGGTGAATAAATGAAGTTTGAGGAGAGAGAGAGAGAGTAGGGGCGGGGTTAAATATGGTTTCGTTAACGAGGCAAGTACACACGCACACATACAGACGAACTCTTACACAACACACAGGCATACACACACATAAAACACACTCAAACACTAGGCGTTAGTACTGTTCGGGATAGGCATAATTTTCGTTTCATTTGTTGGCGTCGGAGTTGTCAGTTTTATTTGTGAATTATGATTATTATTATTCGTTGATGGCCAACCAAGACGTTGTCTGCGTTGTGCAGCTTCACGTGTTGCCTGAACAGCTGCTTCATTCGCTTCGCATAACTCCTTTATTACACTGTCTAATTCACTTAGATATCGACGTGAATCATCTTTTGTTACACGAGTTTTATTGACAGCATTATTTGTAAGTGAATTATTATTATTATTCGTGGTGGTAGTGTTGTTCGATAGTGAACTATTATTACTATCTTGTGATCGACGGGCAGTTGACTTTTCAGCACGAAATACTGAGTCTACTTTAATAGGCAATGGGATTGGTTGAACAACTGTGTTCATTGTCGGTGAACAAGTCACCAGTGTACCAGTAACCGAAGAAGATATAGAAGAAGAAGATGAAGTAGTCGCAGGATTCACAATGGTAGTATTTGGATGAGGTCCTCGTAGATAAAGAGAAGCTGAACTAATTTTTGAATTGTTGAAATTGGAAAATTTGCTTGCAGCTTGTTGTTGTTGTTGTTTTCAGAATGACCGCCAGCTAATGGAATAGAAGAAAAAGAATAACAGTAATTAATTATCTTTGTTCCATATTAAAATGCAATTCCATACGATTGAAAAATAAATCTTGGTCATTTGATAAAGGTGATCAAGCCAGTCAACAAGCATGAGACCAGAGAAACAACACAGGCACTCATTACTATGAAATCAATATGAAGATATACAGTACTCAAAACAGGGAAAAACATCAGAATTCTCAACGCGGATATCAAGTTAGTAGGAGAATTGGCGCGTACATCATCGGAAGTATATCTAACAAGCTGCATACTTTAACCAACACACGCCTTCACTTGTTAATGAGGATCACATAACCAGCCAGAAAAGATAAACAGTCAACACGAAAATACGGCAGCGAACCAGAAGAAATATATGGATGCAGATTGTACACACTTAGAAAATATATACACACGCTACAAACTCGAGTAGAACCCAGACGGAAAGTGACGAGTTTGACGTTGGTCTAACGGTAACGTGGAGGAGATCATGTGATAGCGAAATCAAAGCTTGTGAAAAATCGTGGAGTCAAGTGAAAAAAATGGCAGAGAACAAAGTGCAGTGGACAAGTGCGGCTGAAGTCCTATGTTTCACTCGGATCGTAAGAAACGAATAATAATAATACTTATGTTATACACCCCTAATTATGCCCAACGTTCCCCTGAATTTAGCTTATCACCCAAAACAATTACATCTTACTGTTCCCGTGCAACCATTAAGCCTTTTACATTTCCTACTCTTTCTCAAGACTGGACTCTCATCTGTAGTTTATTGACTATTTAAACATGTCAATGAATTCAATGTTTGTTATGTTCATTTAGAGCCTATATATTCAACATGGCTGCCAAGTGTTTTGTCTAATGTTTGAAACAGTAAAAGTGCTTTCTTCAACGCTCCGTTTTATTTTCTTGTTTTCACATGTCGCTAGCATCATTATTGTGACTGATTCTGTGATTGGGGATTAGAGTAGTCTTCGATAACGTACTAGGTTCGTATCGATCAGATTCTACTAGGTTGTATTACCAGTCACAACAATTTATAAGCTATTTGTCAACTAGAATGAATTAGTCCTATGTAGAATACTCGTAAATCATAACGTATATGTACATACATCCTTCAGCTTTCTAATAGTTTGAAGCATATCAGACATATACATGTGACGAATACTTAATTATCTCTCCGTCATCTCTCACAAGCAGGCGGATGACTGGAACACTAATAAGCATGAATTCTTTCGTTAACTTGCAATATGTTAGGTGATAAGAAAGCCATTAAAAAGTATTATTGCATACATGTCTAGAATATGAACAAACTACAAGCCTTTAGAAGAAGGTTCACAGATCTCATATCACTGATTACTATTTCGATTCCATACTTTGACGTAAGAGCCACTCCATAAATCTTTAAAAGAGTGAAGCAATTAATAGATGATTACTGCATGCGCAGTTATTGGTTGCCTCTAAGCCCCAGTGAACATTGTACTTTAAAATTACTAGTCCAAAATATATAGGCGACTGACTGGAAGTGGACTAACCGACGTTTTCAAGAATGTTAAGAATCAACTAAGAGAAGTAAATTTTTCACGATATAGTATTCAGTGTTTTCCTAATTAGCATTCACTTAGTTCTCTCTTTTTAATTGCTCATCCTGCTGTACTGACTTCTGCACAAAGTTCTACACTGTTTTTTGTCCGCCATACGGCACACAGATGAAGTGAAGATATACTACATACTTTAAAGTTGGTTGTTGAATTCATTTTATTCCTCGTGCGTTGCAAGTGGAACATAGAGCTTCGAAATTTCATTAGCGATTGTGGTGACTTTATGGGTCAAAGTTGCTAACCTCAAACCCAACCGTCCCTATTCTCCGGACTTACTAACAGCTAGATGAGGTTTAGGAGTGAGTCGGCCGGGAATTGAATCCCAGACCACGTAAGTAGGTGGCGGGTATTCTACTCCTGAGCCACCACCACTGCACGAAGCGCTGCCACGCTGGGAGTCGAATCTGGATCGCCTCTGGGTGACAGGTAGGAATCCTAACTGCTATAGAATAATAGGAATTCTCCCCAGAATTATTGTCCAGATACCATTTTGCCATCTTTATAGTACTGAATAAAATATTTTGAAAATGTGCTGAAAAATATAACACTGACACAGAGCAGTTTGACTATTTTATGAATAACATGAAGTGCAGTAGTATACAGGGGATACTGTTTATGACATTTATTAATAGGCCAATAAAACTATTTGTCATTAAATTTAATTACAGGTTTTTTGGTAATAGACTGAAATGTGAACATAAACTGCCTGCTGACATTGAAAAATATGCATGATTCACTCTCTCGCGCTCGTAAAAGAGGGAATTCCCGTTAAATCATTAACTGATATATAAATAAACAAAGCAAATCTTAAGCAAAAACAAATGAATTTGTTTAAATCATGGAGAAATGGCCTGTTTTTTATTGTCTAGACTACCTACTGACATATGAATATTCAACATGTTGTTGTTAGGCCAATCACCCAGTATATATAAAATCATAAAAATAAACTAGAACTTGGACAGAGTTATCTTAGAGGTACTTGGATATAGCATAGTAACAGTGTTGGATACTGGCATGACATTTTGAGAAAAAAACAACTCTAATTAGTGTGAACATGTATGCACAATGATGAATCATTATTAATTCAATTACACTAATGATTATTTACGTCTAGTGATATACCCTTTTTTCAGTAGTAGACAAATGACAGGGACAATCATATATTATAAGGAGAGTAGTAGAATGTTGCTGAAGATAAAGAAAATGTATGAAAAAAGCTAGGTATGTGATAATAATTCGCTAGTCAAGTAGACTTCATTAGTTAGTCATTGGAAATGAGGGTCTAATTTCTTATTTTCAAGTATTAGTTTTGTAGGGATTTTGTTTGATTGGTTGGAGGATTTCATCATGAGCTGACATCAGTTAGAGAAACATTGGAAAACCTGGGAGTACTGGACAGCTGTTTCCTCCACCCTAGTTTGGGACTCTTCAACGGTACGCACCCCCGGGGTTCAAACCTAGGACCTTCTGGCTACAAGGCGAGACCATTAAGCCAATTGGTCGGGTCTCAGTGACTTAATGGTCTTTGAGCTTGCCTTGTAACTAGAAGTTCTTAGGTCCAAACCTCATTGGGTGCACAGTGATGAAGAGTCCCAAAATAGGACGAAGCAGCTGTCCAGTACTTCCAGGTTTTCCAATGGTTCTCTAACTGATGTCAGCTCATGATGAAATCCTTCAACTAATTTCTTATTCTCAGGTTTTGCGATAACCAATGCTTAATCCATCGTTAAGTCTTTCTCTTAGCTTATTGTCGACAGCAATGAAAAGTTTAGTAACGACCAGAATATGTGATGATGAACGCTTTAATAAAATTTAAAAACCATCAAAAGAGACATTTATATAACTCGTGTATCTATCTCTTTGTCAGTTGATGTCATTCAGTCAGGAGAACAAAAATCATAGCATGAAAATGAACACACAACTTGGGTTCCAGTCATTATTTAATTGGAAGAGGAAAATGTTTTCAAAAGTCTACGACGATTTAAACTAATATTAAATGATAAGTTAGACTGTATCGAAATTTAACTGCACATAGCCAATATAACCTAGTATACTTAAGTGATTTATGAGAATCATTGCTGGCAACTTTGCATCACAACCAACCAGCGCCTTTTTACACAGCTCAAATCAACAGTAATCATACTTTAGCCAACACTTCTCAACAAGAAAGGCTATAGTTCAGAATGTGTAACATGTACCTAAGTCACTTCAGTTGGCGATTATTCACAGACTGACCTATTGACTTATCGTAAGCAACACTCCGACTATCGACCAAAGGGCGTGTGTACTGCTCATCAGTCCGCTCCGTCCTCCTTTATGGCTGTGAGACCTGGCCATTGAGAGTGGAAGACATGAAGAGATTAGCTGTCTTTGATCATAGGTGTCTGCGTTCTATCTCCCGTGTGAAGTGGTATAATAAGGTGAGCAATATTGAGGTTAGGCGTCGAGTGCTAGGTAAGGCGGGGAAATCAGTCGACGAGACTGTGAAATTACATCGACTGAGATGGTTAGGACATGTGTTACGTATGCCTAGTCATCGCCTTCCTCGACAATGGGCAATGTTAGCTGATATAGGGTCAGGCTGGAAAAGAGCTAGCGGCGGTCAAACCAAAACATGGCACCAGTCAATGAAATCTACAACAGTTAGTCTAAGCCACGTAGGAAGGTGTAAACTTCCTGGTTGGGGTCCTCGGGACGGTAAAAACCAATGGTTGGAAACAATTGGTGACATGGCTCAAAATCGTTCTCAATGGCTGGCGCAGATGCATCCACTCCTTGTGACTTATGATTTCCAATTAAACTGTTTTGTTCTTCGTTATTACTATTCCTTTGTCTCACACCTCTGTTTACTGTCTCTAATATGCATTTCTCCTACTTTTTTCTCTTGCTTTGTGTGCTACAAGGAGGGAGTGTGGCGACTTGAACTGCCGCACATATGTGCAAAGTTCTATGTCGAAAACAGACAGACAGACAAGCAACACTCTACGTTTAGTATCAACACTACTTATAGTCTTCATTCTAATAAAGTAACTAAGTTAACGAAGGATTAAGGATAAGAAAAGCCTTAGTGCTTACATATATTTCACTTTAAGAGGTTACTCTTCACATTCATGAGTTCTTGTGCATTCCCAATGGGTATTCAGACCTCTTGCTAGCATTAAAAATGATGCAAGCTGGAAAATGTCAAGAGAGTTTCTTTTATCCAGGGGCAAAGATTTCGTCAGTGACCAGTCCTCTACAGCTGATGCAACTTATGAGGGAGGCAAAGTCAACAGCACAGACGACTTTTCTATACCCAGTCGTTATTTTGATATCATTTTAAATTTGAAAATGGAAAAATGGGCGCTGCACACACACTCACTCAGATTTATGTTCAGTGTGTTTAA